AGGTGTCTGTCACCATGCCAGGCTAATTTGCTCAAGATGCCCCTTGTTCCTCAGAGCTCGTTGTCCAACTCTCTGTCAGGAGGTGACCTTGGCTCTGTGCCCAGGGGACAACCCACCAGTGAAGTCTCATCCTAGCCACTCCAGATGCTCCCATGACTGCTGCCCAGCTCCCTGCCCAGGACCAGCCAGAGCGGTGGCCTTGGGAAATGAGTAACCCACACACCACCTTCCTTTGAGTCCACCCCTGCTCCCCTAAGCCCGGCATGGCGCTTTCCTGATTTGGTCTTCTATCTCCACCAGCTCCTTCACAGGAGGCCTCAAACTCTCAGGCAGTGGGCAGGGGGAGGAACTGCAGGAGGCTCAAGGAGAACAGCCCCATCCCTCTGGAGTTACTGGGAAAAGCTGACTCAGTCTCCAGTCACTGAGAAAGAAAAGGAAGCTAGGAGCTTGCCTATGTCACCCCTCTCATTGTACAGGTGGAAAAACTAGAGCTCAGAGCAAGTAACCAATTCCCACAGCACACACAAGGCAGAGCTGCAACCAGAACCCCATTCCTGACTTCTAAGTCGGCCCCTCTACACTCTAATGGCTGCTCAAGCTCTTCTGCCCAGAAGGACTAAACAAGTCACTCAAGCCTTTGACAATGGCTGAATGCCAGCGCCTGCAAGAACTTTTGAAATGTTATAGCAAAACATTTAATAGAATTATTACACCAGAGAGCAAAGTGAGGCTCACAGAGGTCAGAAAACCTGCATGGAGTCACACAGTCAAGCAGGGCCAAGCAGGACTTTCCTACGCCCACTCAAGTGCTCTTTCTGCCAACAGGTTCTGACGGTTCTAGCTACAGGATGGTGAACAGGTGGAGTTGGCCTCGGGCCTGGTCACACTGAAACAAGAAGTGGCTCAGGTGAGCCTCATGCAGGCTCTGTATCCAACTCACGGTGCAGGAGACCACTGTGGGAGTAAAGTATGGCTGGGAAGGTTTTTATGCATTTGCAGAAAATATGGTGCATTTGGATTTCTAAGCCCACAGAGCTGCCATTAAAAAAAAAAAAAAAAAAAAAAAAAAAGGCCCCGTACAGTGGCTCACGCTTGTAAACCCAGCACTTTGGGAGGCCAAAGCGGGTAGATCACGAGGTCAAGGTATCGAGACCAAATGGCCAACATGGTGAAACCCCGTCTCTACTAAAAATACAAAAATTAGCTGGGTGTGGTGGCAGAAGCCTATAATCCCAGCTAATCAAGAGGCTGAAGAAGGAGAATTGCCTGAACCTAGAAGGCAGAGGCCGGGGTGAGCAGACTCATGCCACTGCACTCCAGCCTGGCGACAGAGCAAGACTCTGTCTCAAACAAAACAAAACAAAACAAAACAAAACAGGCCTGACACAGTGGCTCACGCCTGTAATCCAAGCACTTTGTGAGGCCGAGATGGGTGGATCACTTGAGGTCAGGAGTTCAGACCAGCCTGGCCAATATGCCAAAACCCTGTCTGTACAAAAATACAAAAATTAGCCAGGCATGGTAGTGTATGCCTGTAGTCCCACCTAGTCAGGAGGCTGAGGCGGAAGAATCACTTGAACCAAGGAGGTGGAGGTTGCAGTGAGCTGAGATCGTGCCACTGTAATCCCAGCTGCTCGGGAGGCTGAGGCAGGAGAATCACTAGACCCTGGGAGGCAGAGGTTGCAGTGAGCCGAGATCGTGACATTGCACTGCAGCCTCGGCAATAGAGCAAGACTCCGTCACCAAAGAAAAAAACCAAAAACCAAAAAACAGGTCAATAAGTGCCACACAGCTACTGTTTATCATCCAACAGGGTCTAGGACATGGCTTAGAAGGAAAGGCCTAGCACTAAAAAAGTGTGACAAGAGAGACAGGGTGCAGGGGCAGGGGGAGGTGACTGGGGACTCGGGAAGGCTGCAAGTCAGCTGCAGAGCAACAAGCACCCAACCTCAATTCTGCACCCAGAGGACCAAAAAAAGGGGAAAAGGGAGCATGGCATGACTGACACCCATCTGGTGATAGGCCCCATTCTAGGGGATTCTGCAGAGTATGGTGGTTAAATCTTCACCATATCTCTGAAAAAAGCTAACACGGCTCAATGAGGTGAAGGAACTTGATCACGGACCCACAGCATTTGAACCCCCGTCTGGTGCCAGAGCCCATGCTCTTTCCACTACCCTTGGGTTAAAAGGACTTAATAGGGAGCCCTTCCTATCCCTGAACCCCTTCTCTTCCCCACCTAATCCCACTGTACCCCCTCCCCAGCTCCTAACAGCCCCAGAAGGACCTGGAGGCATTCTCACAAGATGCCGCCTTGAGGATGACAGGTATTCAGCTTTTGACACGTTTAGGTTGGTATGGCAATGAAGCGATCCAGGAAAGGGGTCAGAACCTGCTATAGGGGCTGGGCTGACTTCCATCACCTGGAAGATACTGATTAATAACTTGACTGATAGTTACTGATTGACAGATACTGATTGATAACTGCTGCTGGGATGCTGTTACTGAAAGCTGTGGATGCTTAAGTTCTCCCTCCTCCCTCCTCCCCCGCACCTCCCCCCCTACCCCCAGCTTGTTCCAACTAAGTGTTTCCTGGTGGGGAAAATGCCTTTCAACAGCCTTGGCTGGCTGAGACAATTAAATTATGAAATTTACCATATTAGATGAAAACCAGCATCTCAATCAGCCAATTCATTAGTGTCTGGCCACTCTGTTTTCTTGTGCCAGCTCTACCCACAATGGCCAGGCTATGCCTACACTGCTTGCTGGTACAGAGTGACTACAGGCTCAGACAATGGGCTGGTCTTAGGGACCAGGAGGGTAGGTTCTCCCAGGACGCCCCTAGAAGACACGATGCATCCACAAGCCATCAAGTTTCCTGCAAATGCCCTGGACTGCTGTCCCTGCGGACAGCACTATAGACAGAACGAACCTTCCACCACCTCCCACTTGCATTTTCCAAGACTTCAACCTGTGCCTATCTTGAGGTTGCCAATTGAGGTCATCAATGCCTGTGGGAGAAGTATGGGTGAGCTACAGGAGAAAGGTGGCCGCCCTTTGCCTGGAATCTGGGCTGTGGCACGCCTTTCGCTTCTTAGTCAAAGCATCCTCTCTCCAGGAAGCCTTGCCCACCTGTGTCCTCTCTGCTCTTCTTGCTATCTCTATCACTATGATGTACCAGGGCCCCTAATCCATGTGCCAGCACCCCCTCATCTAGGTGCTCACTAAAGGTAGAGTCTCCAGCACCTAACCTAGGGCCTGGCACACAGCAGGTGCCCAATCAAGTCTCGTCAAACAATTAATGAACAAATGAATCAGTAACGAAACACCCACTAAATAGCATTCTCACTCTTCCTACCCTTCCCACCTGCCCCTACTCAAGTGATAGATGGGAAGAACGAAGCTTGCTTTCACTGGGTTATCATTCTTTTCTTCCTGCTCTCTTCTGCCCACGCGGAGTACCCACAGATTTAAAACGCTATTAAAGGGCATCCGGCTGCAGAACCTGCCTTCAATGTGGAGCACACAACTTACCCACAGCTCTTCTTTCCATACCACACACATAAATCCAACCGCAGCCCGAGACCCAGGACGAAGGTGTCTTCCATTTCTACCTCGCTTTTATCAACCTCCCTGGAGTCACTGCCTGACAAATGACTTAAAACTGAAATAGCTGCCGGGCCGGAAAAAGACTGACTCCATCAACCTTCACAGGCACAGCTTGTGGACCCAAGGGCCCCCGGTCTTAGGACACCAAGTGGACCCCGAGGTGGGGTCACTTTGTGCCCTACTCTTCCCCAAACACCAATGCAAGCCTTCACCAACACCCCAGGAAAGCTCACAGCTCAGATCGGAATGCTGAGCATCAGTTCTCCCTATGAATGGGGAGACTGGGGCCCAGGGTCCAAAGGGCTTGGCCCCATCACTAGTCACTGGAATCTGCTCCAGAATAGAGACCGTGGGATCCTGCCTCCTCTTCTTGTGCCACTGCTAAGTTCCTTCCCTCCCTCCCTCTATTGCACCGACAGAGTGAAACCAAATGGTCCAGACACCTGGCATTCTCTGCCCTGATTACCGGGGAGTCAAAAGCCCAGCCTGCCTTCCCCAAGGTCAAAAACCACCAGGATCCAGCAGGAACCAAGAGCGTCCAGATTCAACCTGCAAGGGCCTGGGTCCGCCCCCTCACCCACAGTCCGTTGGGTCAGGCCTCTGGAGAGATTTTTCTTTGTTCAAAGACAATGGGAATGGACTTTGGGGACTGTAGAGCAGGAACACAAAAAAATATCTGGTGTCTCCGGGGCACCATCCGCAAAAGAAAAGCTTCTAAAGCAACTATGAAGGAGTCGGGGTGGGGTGGGGTGGGGGGAGTGGGGGCGTAACACCGCGCGGTGGTGTCTCGGAGCCAGGGCGAGCGTGGGCAGAAGAGTCAGGATGGAGGGCTCGCTCTGGACCTGCCAGGCGGGCCCCCACCGCGGTGGACAGGTGGGTGTGCCTTCGGGAGTGCGACCTTTCCCCGCCGCCGGACAGTGCTGCAAACCGAAACGAGGGACCCCGGCAGGCGGAACGGGAACGGCCCGGGGCTCCCGGCCGGGCCCGCGCAGACCGTTCCCTCGGGAACCCCGGGCCCTCGCCCCGCGCAGGGCAGGCGGCCATCGGCCTGGGCGTCCGGGGCGCGGGGCTTGGCCGCCCGCGTCCTCAAAGACCAGCCGCGTCTCTTTCCAGGATCAATAGCAATTTTTTAAAAAGAGAGTCTGCGGACTCAATGAATCAACCACTCCCCGGGGAGAGAGCAGCGGCTCCCGCGCGCAACGTCCATTTGCCGAACAATTCATTCCCCCGCGCAGAGCTCTCGAATCCCCTCGCGGGGCCGCGGGGTGCCGGCCGGCCGCCGCCCCCACGCCTGTCCCCGGGCCCCCGCCCCCGCCGCGCGCGCTCCTCCCGGGACACGCAGCCCCGCGGGGGCTCCGAGCGCTCGGCCCCGGCCCAGCCCGGGTACTCACCGCCGCAGGCGCTCCCCGCCGCCGCCGCCTCAGAGACGCCCCCCGGCCGCCCGCGCGAGCTCCGCAGGCCCCGCCGCCGCTCGCCACAACCCAAACGCTGCCGCTGCGGTACCGCCGAGGCGCCGCCAACAAACTAGTTTCTCCGGCCTTCCCGCCCCTCCTCCCGGCCTGAAGCGCTGCAGCCAATCAGAGACAACGCCTCTGTGACGGACGGGCGGCTGAACCCGTCCGTGCAGCCGCAGAGGACAAGGGGGTGGGCGCCCAGGCCGCGCCGGCACCGCGTGGGAGGGAGGCCGGGGGCGGGGTGGGGAGAGGAAAAGGACTTCGACCAGATTCTTAAAGAGACAGGCGCCTGCCCGCCCCCGCGGCCCAAGTTTGGAAACGAAGCGCGGCGGAGTCCTAGAGCTTTCGGGAGGGAGCGTTGTAGATGGCATATGCCTCTTACTTTTGTATTCGGGTCACAAGTGCTTAGGTCTCTTTAGACCCCGCGGAGCCACACTTGGAGTTGCCCGAGTGTGAATGGAACCCTTTCTTTCACTCCGGGCTTGTTGAACGTTGGGGACTTTCTGCAGTCCCCAAACCCCACCTGTACTTGAAATCTGTATTTTTCAGGGTATTTCAGACCTCCTCTCGGTGTCATTTCTCAGTAAACTCCTTTTGTAAGCCAGCCTTTAAATGTTCATTCATTCATCCATCCATCCAATAATGTCTTCCAGGAACGTTTCCTGGACGCCCAGACCATGCGCTCGTCTAGGAGGGGGAGACCGGTGTGGGGTTCCTCCTTTTCCCTCCTGACTGCTGCTTCGACTTGCTGTATGTGTCCAATCTCGTCTATAAAGTGGCAGGAAAAACAAAAAACAAAAACAAACAAACAAACAAACAAAAAAAAAAAACCCAAAAAACCTCCTCATCGCATTATTTGGGCGATTAAAGGAGACAAAAACCCCAGACAAAATGAGTACTCAATAAATGCGTTTTCTTTTCTCCCTCCCGATGAAAATCCGTAATTCCAGTAGGTCGCTTAAGGATATAAAAGGTGCCGGGCGTGGTGGCTCACGCTTGAATCCCAACACTGTGGGAGGCCGGGCGGGTAGATCACGAGGTCAGAAGTTCAAGATCAGCCTGGCCAACACAGTGAAACCCCATCTCTACTAAAAATACAAAAAAATTAGCTGGGTTTGGTGGCAGGCGCCTGTAATTCTAGCTACTTGGGAGGCTGAGGCAGGAGATTTACTTGAACCTGGGAGGTGGAGGTTGCAGTGAGCCGAGGTCACACCACTGCACTCTAGCCTGGGCGACAGAGCCAGACTCCGTCTCGAAAGAAAGGAGAAAAAGGATACAAAACGTAAAGCATAGACAGTGATAAGAACGTAAGAGCCAAGTCTGGGGCGGGGAGATGCCCGAGAAACAGAGGTCACCCTGACGGAGGTGGGAGGTGCAAAGGAAGGTTTAAGGAAGTGTACAAAGATTTGGGAGAGGGGCTAGGATTGTGACTGGTGGAACCCGGGCAATAGAGCCCCTGGGTAGAAAGCTGCTTAGAAGGGACAGAGATTCCAGGCTTAAAAGACTGAGAGAAGATGAAAAGATACCACCAGGGAAGGCATTTTTGGGAAACAGTTTAATTTGAAGCGCGTAAGACTGAAGCAGATGGCTCAGACTCTGAGTGTCTGGTTCTTAATGGTGAAGAGGATTCGAAAACCTTTCTTGCCGTGGTATGGGAAAGATTAAACAAGATAACATATGGAATAGGCCTGGCACCTAAGTGTTCAATATAGATTTGTGCTTCCATTTGGCCCAGATCTGCAGACATCTAAGACACCAGGGTTCTGATATTTATGAACAGTATGGGCCAGAGGTAAGAAGCTGGCCAAGTGCGCTGTTAAGGTGCCTTCAGAAGGGAAAAGTTAGCATCAAAGTAACTGCTTCATTAAAGAAATGACAGAGATCCCATTTGTAGTTTTATCATCCTGCCAATTTTCTAGCCCTAGAGTGTTTATAGAATTGTTGGTTGAATGAAGCTCCATATGCAAAATTGATTCTTGGCAAGTTTATAACTGTTGCTTATTATTCTATACAGGTTTGCTGTAAAATTATGAATGCCAACCGCGTAAAATCTGGCCCACATTATCTTTTTTCCCGTCTTTAACTCCAAGGCTTAAATTAGGTACCATAATATATTAAAATCAAATATGGTCTAAGCAATGGGACAAAATCAGGCCAAGAACACACGTGGAGTGATCGAATTTACGTACGGTTTGAAAGAAGATGAGAGGAGGAGAGGAAGCTTGTCATCTATTGTAGACCCTGGAGCATCACCATCATCACAGCCCTTCCCAGCCACTGTCCTAACGGCCTGCTTACCCAGTCCACCTGCTGTGCAGGGAGTTCTGGGACGGCAGGGACCGTGAATTCATCTCAGAATTCTTGGGGCTGCACCAAAGTTGTCTACACAGGTTTGAAATACCGTGAATAAATCTCATACCCATTAGAATTAGCTTTTGCTGCATGTGAGAGAAAACCCAAAATTAACTGCGACTGAAACAAGATAGAAGTGTCTTGCTTATGCAAAAGAAATCTAAAGTTAAGCTATCCCCTGTTGGCAAGTCCACAGTTGTCAGAAACACGGCCTACTGTATTTTTATTCCTTCATCTCTAGTGCGTGCTTCCCATTTGCAAGGTTGCCTCGTAGTCAGGATGGCTGCTAGGGCTCCGACTTTACAGTTTCCCAGGCGGGGCGAGGTGGCTCACGCCTGTAATCCAAGCACTTTGGAGGCCAAGGTGAGTGGATCACCTGAGGTTGGGAGTTCAAGACCAGCCTGACCAACATGGTGAAACACCGTCTTTAAAAAAAAAAAAAAAAAAGGCCGGGCGCGGTGGCTCACGCCTGTAATCCCAGCACTTTGGGAGGCTGAGGCGGGTGGATCACAATGTCAAGAGATCGAGACCATCCTGGTCAACATGGTGAAACCCCGTCTCTACTAAAAATACAAAAAAATACCTGGGCATGGTGGCGCGTGCCTGTAATCCCAGCTACTCAAGAGGCTGAGGCAGGAGAGTTGCCTGAACCCAGGAGGCGGAGGTTGCAGTGAGCTGAGATTGCGCCATTGCACTCCAGCCTGGGTAACAAGAGCGAAACTGTCTTAAAAAAAAAAAAAAAAAAAATCCCAGACAGTAGGAAGGAATAATGGCAGAAAAGCATGAGCTGTGTGTCTTCCAGCCTTGTTAGTTCCACTGATGCAGACTGCAGAAATCCCACACAATACTTTTGTTTGTGGACGAAATTTCGTTTTCCTACCTGTGAGAGCAGCTGGGAAATGTGGACTTTTATGTTACACATAGCTTCCCCAAAGTCAGGGTTCTGCTAACAAGAAACAGGGAAGAATGGATACCTGGTGTCTACCAGCAGCCCTGACCGATACCTTCCCCCAGCATCACCATCTGTCTAGCATGCCTGGTGGCCCAGAGTCTGAAGTCTCAGAAATTCTAGGATGATGTGTAGAATTCAATATACATGTGTTAACGATCAAATTCTTGGTTCCCTTTCTACCATCCCGGATGTTCCTGTTTAGTCTCCTCTGCTGATTCGTCCTCACTTCTCAGACTTACAAATATCGGAGGGCCCAGGAAGCAGGCACAGACAGATAAGAAGACCTATTCCCAGCCTGACACGGTGGCTCATGCCTGTAATCCTAGCACTTTGGGAGGCCGAGGCGGGCAGGTTGCCTGAGCTCAGTAGTTCAAGACCACCCTGCGCAACATGATGAAACTCGGTCTCTACTAAAGATAAAAAAGTTAGCTAGGTGTGGTGGTGTACGTCTGTAATCCCAGTTATTCAGGAGGCTGAGGCAGAAGAATCACTGAAACTGGGAGGTGGAGGTTCCAGTGAACCGAGATTGTACCACTGTACTCCAGCCTGGGTGACAGAGGGAGACTCCATCTCAGAAAAAAAACAAACAAACAACAACAAAAAAAAAACACCTATTCCCTTCCCTACCTACACTAAATGATTTCATCCAGGCCCAGGCCTTACGTTCATATAAACATTGGCAACTGCCAGCTCTGTGCTCCCACCCTGCCTTCTCCATGAGCTCCAAGCCCACGGGTGCAGCTGATTCCTGGGTATCTCTGTGTGTATGTCTAGGGCACCTTACCCTCCACCTGCCTCCGCTAGCTCCTCGTCCCCATCTCAGGAAAGGACAACTCAGTTTTTCCTTCTGTAAGATTAAAAAGTCTTGGCATCATTCTCTCCTACCCCATGTCCAGCTCGTCAGGAAATCCCTGTTGAGTCTGAGTACTTACTACTTCCACCGCCACCCCTAGGCCTGTCTAGAGACGGTATCATTGTCTCTCCTCTGTGACATGGTAGCAGCCTCTAGATCATCTCACTCTTCCACCCTGCCCCCATAGAGTCTGTGCTCGACACAGCAGCCAGAGGGATCCTTTTACAAGATAGTCTCATTATTTCTGTCTACCCCTAGAAATCCACCAGTACCTCCCACCTCACTCAGAGTGAAGACCAAAGTCCCACCACTGGCCCACAGGCCTGTGCCGATCTGGGAGATCACCTCCCACGTGCCTGTTCCTGACCTGATGTGCTCCGCTCCCGACCAACGGATCTCTTCTAAGGCCTCAGACAAGCCAAGCCCACTCCCACTCAAGGCCTCAACCTTTTTGCTCTATAGGATTGCTCACCCTCAGACGGCCATGGCCACAAGGTTTCCTCCCCGGCTTCCTTCAGGTTTCTGCTCACATGTCACCTTGCCACTGAGGCCTTCCTGACCACATTCCCCACTCCTGGCAGTCTCTAGCTCTGGTCTATATCTCCAAGCACTTACTTCCACCTGAAAAGTATATACACTTACACAGAGATTGAGAGAGAGAGAGAGCGAGAGAGCGAGAGAGCGAGAGAGAGAGAGAGAGAGAGGGGCAGCCCCTGGCAGGGAGGAGCTGGCCTGTGTGCACAGCTCGGTCTTGATGCTCTCCTGTTGAACATAAACAACATCACAGACCATCAGCATCAGAAAATGGCACTATGTGAGCATGAGTGGTCCAGACAAACGAGACCACTCCACCATCATATCTGAACAGACAAAGCACCAACGTTGCCCAAGTCCCAGAGTGCCAAACATCCCCCTTTCCCAG